AATCCTTCTGGGAATTCGTGATCCAGCACCTCATCGGTGAAACATAGGGGGTGTGCGGCACCCCTATATTGGGATATGCCATGGCATTCGGATGGTTGTAGTGTTCGGTTTTGATTTTGTGTCGGAGCGCGCTTCCTAGATCCATAGATGGATCTGGTCGTACCTGATTTTTGGCGCAAGTTCTCACGTAGATCGTGTGTTGACTTATGTGTGACTTTGTTAGCCGCTCTATCGTGGTCACAAGGTGGTGGATCCGGCCGGTTGGCCGTATCATTTTTTGGTTTCGTGGGTTCTAAGGCCTCATCGTCGAATTCAGGTAATAGCTTGCGTTTTGGATAGCTATTTGTGTGGTAACTTCCACCATACTTTGTTTCGTTGACGAGCACTTTGTTCCACCTGCTGTTGAGCGTATCTTGTGCGGCCTTAAGCCTTTGTTTCTGCTTCTTCAGACTCCTCGCCGTGGCAATAAGCCTTCTGCGGAGGTTCTCTTGCTCCAAGTGAGTTTTCCGGGATGATGTGTGCATCTTCGTCCGGACTATTTTCCTCCCCAGACGGGGTTTGATGAGGTTTATCCTTGGCGTCGCTGTGTTCGGATGCCGGATCCGCACTATGTTCGCCGTTTGCATTTTCATCGTGCTCTGCCACCGGGGCGATGCGGTCATCGTTTCTTCTAGAGTCGACTGGACTGTTATTTCCTCTTGCGATGTTATCGCTATTTTTGCTATGGCGGGACTTAGAGCGGCGCCGCTGATGTCAACGCTTGGGTTGCTTGGAGGGGGCATCCTCTGCTGTCTCTTCGTCATTGCCCTCTTTGGGTGTATCCACCATGTATATGTCATGTGATGAAGTGGTTGTCCGGCGCCCTGTGGGCGCTAGTTCCTGTTCGTCTCCTACATCATCGTTCATGCCGTCGATGTCTTTAGAGTCGAAGTTGAGCATGTCGGTTAAGTCATCGACAGTGGCTACCAAGTGGGTGGTGGGTGGGCAGCGAATTTCTTCGTTGTCCGCATCCCATTCTAGTCGGACATAGTTCGGCCAAGGTTCTCCTGACAGGGAGAGAGACCTTAATGAATTTAGCACATCGCCGAAAGGCGAGTGCTGAAAGATATCCGCGCGCGGAGGTGAACTCCATGATCGGCGCCTAGTCGGGTTCGACGGGCACGGATGTAAGCGGCTCGGAGTTCGTGGCCGGAGATGAATCCAGTGGTTCAGCGACACGACTCTCGTAAGGGGTGAAGTCAGTATCTGGCTCTGTCGCCACTGAGAGCGCGACCTTCGTGGCGGGGTCTATCCCTCCGCTTTCGGATGGCGCGATTTGCTCCGGATTGATGGCCAGAGTAGTTGTAGATGCAATCTCCCGAATACTGTCCGAAGGTAGAGTTATGTCATGCTCGTCGTGACTGTGTGGCGCACCTGGCACAGGCTCGAATCCGTCGAAGATCAAGTCTCCGCGGATGTCGGCAATGTAGTTCAAGTTTCCGAATCTGACCTGATGGCCAGGGGCATAGCTCTCCATCTGCTCCAGATGGCCAAGCGAATTGGCCCGCAGTGCGAAGCCGCCGAATACAAAGATCTGCCCGGGGAGGAAAACCTCACCCTGGACCGCATCGCTAGCGATGATCGAAGGAGCCATCAAGCCTTACGGTGACGACACAGTGGAACTCTCAATGAAAGCACCAATGTCGGTGTCAAAACCGGCGGATCTCGGGTAGGGGGTCCCGAACTGTGTGTCTAAGGCGGATGGTAACAGGAGGCAGGGGACAAGATGTTTACCCAGGTTCGGGCCCTCTTGATGGAGGTAATACCCTACATCCTGCTTGATTGTTCTTGATGATATGAGTATTAGAAGAGTTGATCTACCACGAGATCGTAGAGGCTAAACCCTAGAAGCTAGCCTATGGTATGACTGTCTGTTGTCCTACAGACTAAACCCTCCGGTTTATATAGACATCGGAGGGGGTTAGGGTTACACAAGGTCGGTTACAAGGGAGGAGATCCCCATATCCGTATTGCCTAGCTTGCCTTCCACGTCAAGGAGAGTCCCATCCGAACACGGGACGAAGTCTTCAATCTTGTATCTTCATAGTCCAACAGTCCGGCCGAAGGATATAGTCCGGCTGTCCGGAGACCCCCTAATCCAGGACTCCCTCACCTACCATCCTTCCTAGGTCCACCGGTGACATGGCATGGTAGTAGTAGACATATCTCTCTCTATCTCTCTCTCCCTCCCTCCCTCTCTCTCTCTCTCACACACACACACACACACTAGTTTGCATGCATAATCTCCCTAGAGAGAGGATGGAACATTGCTACCATAGGATATATTCCTCATATTGCAATTTTTAAAAGACATATAGTGATGTTGAATTCTGAAGTAAGTGCCGTGACATGACAAACTAATATTTTCTCAAATTTTTAGAGACATATAAGGTTTTTCATGATTATTTTCTGTACATTTTTGAATTTGGGCGCATATTATCATTTAAACACATGTATCACTGACGTTTTCCTTCAAGGGCTCATTTCATTTGCATGATTTCCAAATCAAAAGATAGGAAAAGTAAAGGGTTGAGATCTCATGTCCACTCTAATCCTTTTGCATTTTCTATGAAGTCTCGTGTAATGCTTAAGACCTACTTAGAATCCTTGGGAATTAAGCCAATATGGACAAAATCCTTAGGAATCTAGTACCTCCATTCATGTGAATCTAGTGACATACATAGCAGAAAATCAAAAGGATCAAAACCCTATAAGAATCCTAAAAAAATACTACAAATCGAATGAGTATTGAATCCTTATTTTTCACTACATATATACTCCAAGTTGCTACATGACAACCGATAGCATGTCAATATTGAAAGGCAATGTTAGGAGCTTCATGGTTATTTTTTTCACCACAGTTCAGAAGTTGGAACCATAATATTGTTTGAACATTGGTATTGTTTTGACAATATATTCTTGAATTTGACATTCGCATCATTTTTACCGCCCCACAATGTGCAGAAAAAAAAATACTCCATCCGTTCCCAAATATTTGTCTTTCTAGCGATTTCAAGAAATGACTACATACGAAGTAAAATGAGTGAATCTACACTCTAAAATATGTCTACATACCATCCGTATGTTGTAACCATTTAAAATGTCTAGAAAGACAAATATTTAGGAACGGAGGGAGTATGATTTAACTCAAAAGCATTAGGGTGGACAATCTCTCAGCAAGTGTTGAAATTCTGTAAAATAAACTATTTGCGAAAAAATGAAGAAGGAAAATAGATATCACGGACATTTATTTAATTTTCGTTAGCAGTAGGTAAACAATATTGTAATCCCTGAACAACTTCATTTCCTAAAAAGATCAATAGTTACCATGGAACATATTTTGTTTTATAGAAAAAATGATGAAGCCTTTTTTAGAGATGTGATGTCTTTGAATTTGAAAAGAAAGAAAAAAGAGGCAATGGTTGTTTCATGGTAGTAGTAATAGTAAAAATGAAAGGTGAAAAAGAAAACTGACATATGCCATAAGCGACATATACCAGACCGGAGGGCAGAGCAGAATGGCATCCTCCGTCCTTCTTCATCCCCTTGTCGTTGGGCCATCGTAGGAGATCGCATCGCCGGCTCCAAGCTTATGTAATCTCTTACATGACTTTGTATTTGTATGATAATCAATAACATTTCTTTTATTGACTTTGTATGATCAACTTTGTATTATTCAATTTTTAGAATAAAGTTTGCATTTCATTTATTTATTGCAATTTATTTGAAATTCATGTCCAATTGATAAAAGACTTTACCTTTTGCACTTGAGTCCTTATGTTATACTCCTATTTGGAATATGAACCAAACTCAAATATGAGCAAAGATTTATGTTCAGTTTTATACTGGATGCAACTTCACATAAGTTTGAAATTTATCCTAAATTTATTTAAACGAACGCAAAGCTCAATCAAAAAAGAAAACCCCGCTCTCATATAACTACGGGTCATTGATTACGCTGAAAAATATTGTAATCGTCGAACAACTCCATTTCTTGAAAAGACGAATAGTTACCATGGAGCATAGTATTTTGTTTTGCACTAGAAAGTAATGAAGTCTTTTTTGGAGATGTGATGTCTTTGAATTGAACTTGAAAATAAAGAAAAGGAAAAGCAATGGTTGTTTTATGATGGTAAAAATAAAAATGAAAGGTGAAAAAAAACAGTAACTAACGTGTGCCATAAGCGGCATATACCAGAGCAGAGGGCAGAGCAGAGTGGCATCCTCCCTTCCCTTCCTCCTCCCCTTCCCCCGTCGCCGGGCCGTCGTAGGCCGCCAGCCGCGGCCACCTCCCCCGTCCGCCCTCCGCCTCTCCCGCCAGCCCCTCCGTCGGCCCCCAGCCCCGTCGCATCCTCCGC